TGGCTGGGAAAAACCATCTCATTAAGGTCTTCATAGCTCAGCTCTTACTTCTTGTATTCTGCTTTAACAGTTTAACTTTCCGAGATGTTTTATCATTCTTAATTCTAAGTTCATGGGAGTTACCTAATTATTACCCACCTGCCATGTATGGTAAAAGGCAAACTCTCCTTTCAAGTACTCCTCCAAGAATTTTCAAGGTAGTCAAAAAGTACGAACTTTCAGTTATGACATAAATAAGGCTGGGGGATGTAACTTACAGCATGGTGACTATGGCTAATATTACTGTGTTGTATATTTGAAAGTCGCTGAGAGTGGATCTTACAAGTTCTCATCACAAGGGAAAAATGTATAACTGTGTGGCAATGGATGGTAACCGGACTTACTGTGGTGATCATTTCATGGTACCGTACTACAAATACCAAATCACTATGTCGGACACCTGAAAATAACGTCATATGTCACTTATATCTCAATTTAAAAAAATTCTTGGCAAACAATTATAAAATTTAGTTCTCTCCCCAAATACTAATATTCAATATCTTACTAATAGTAAAAAAAGTTATCAAGCACTTAAAATAGTAAGAAATATAACAAATACAAAAAGTACAAGCAGAACAAAATTAAGGGTAGGTATACACTAAATCTTTCAACACTGAAATAGTTTAAAAGTTATAAATGGAAAAGAAGCTTAATCATGTTTGACTATAGATCAAAACTCCAAGAGTGATGTGAATAGTTCAAGAAAGCTGAACAGGAGCACCTGGGTGGCTCAGTCGGTTAAGCATCCAACTCTTGGTTTCGGCTCATCACCATCTTACTGATTTGTGAGATAAGGCCCCACGTCAGACTCTGTGCTGACTGCATGAAGCCTGGTTAGGATTCTCTCTCTCTCCCCCTCTCTCTCTGCCCCTCCCCTGCTTACACATGTGTGCACATTATCCCTCTTTCTCTGTCTCTGAAAATAAATAAATAAACTAAAAAAAAAGCTAAATAGATTGAAGTGCTAGGTTAGGAAGAGCTATTGTCCCCTAGTTTTTCGATATTCTCAGTTGTGTCCACACTGATTCACCAGAACTCAGGGCAATGTCTGGGCCATTAGACAGAAGTACAGAAGCCTCAGAGTTCAGAGGCCAAACTCCCCATTTGTCAACGTGACACAGGACAATGAATCAAGGTCCTAAACCTAATAATATATCCAAGGACCACAAATTCTTAGAATCCAGAAGGAGAAGGCAAGTAGAGATCAACCTTTCATTCTTTTTCATCCATTACTACATGTTAGTGCCCAAGGACCGAGAAGGAGGGCCTGGCAGCATCATCCTACTCAGACCTTGGGGAAATTTACAGGACACTGGACAGACATCTCAAAGGAACATGCAAAGAGGAACAGTTTCCATTTTGTCTAGAAAGGAAATTAAAAGTTAGTTGCCTTTTAAAAATTAGTGGCTTCTAGGAGCGCATTTGTCAACGAGAAACAACAAAGTCAGTGGGCACTTTGTGAACTTTACTGGTACGTGTCTATCCGAATTAATAACCATACTCCCCATTAAGATGACCTTTTAAGGTTGTTGAAGTTTTTGCAATATCCTCTTGTTAACATTACCATCTGCATGCATTACGTAATTCCCTAACTCAACTTCTATTTTCTCCTAAAATCCAATTCCTGCTGAATGATCTATAACCATTAAAGCTCTAAAGTCAATTATTTAATAGAAATATCTGTTCTCAGGGCACCTGAGTTATTTAAGCATCCGACTTTGGCTCCGGTCATGATCTCATGGTTTGTGGGTTCGAGCCCCATGTCAGGCTCTGTGCTGATACCTCCAGAGCCTGGAACCTGCTTCTGATTCTCTGTCTCCCTCTCTGCCCCTTCCCACTTGTGCTCTGTCTCTCTGTCTCTTAGAAATGAATAAACATTAAAAAGTTTTTTAAAAACCTCATGCACTGTTAGAGTAAATTAAATGTGTACTTTAAAAAAAGAAATATCTGTTCTCAAAACAGTTATCAACAATTAAAACAACAGTAAAATGAATGTGCAGCTCTGGAGGTTGAAATATAAGCAAGTACTTCTTTAAGTTTTGTATGATCAAGAGTAAGACATGTTACAGTAAATTTAACACTATGAACAGTCACTGTTCATGGAGAAGCTACTTGGTGCCAGGCAATGTGTTATTTCCCTACCTTTTGCACTTTCCAAAGTAAGGTTTGGTCCACCCAAAAATCAATTTCCCCTTGACTTTGGAGTGGCTTCTACTGACCTATGAACTTTACCCTGAACATCCATATGTCAAGGGCACAATGCAGAAGGATGCTGTCACTCTAGTTAGGTTGAACAGAAGCAGATACTTTTCTATGACATCCAACGGTGTTTAAACTCCTGATATGTGAAATAATTAAATCCTAGAATATCAGTCCTTAAGTATTAATCAACCCAGGTCACAGGCTGGCTAGTGACAGAGTGAGACTAGTCTTTTATACCTGCTGGCTCTCAATTCTTTGTTCTTTCTTCATTCTATTTGCATCCTTACATTTCATTAAATATGTGTTAAGTGTCTACAGGTGCTAGGTAAATCAGCATTGAACACTCAATTATTTCTCAATAATTATTAATTATTCAATTATTCATCAGAAAGCAGCTTCTTAGGCATGGTATTAGAACAGAGGAACAGGACCTCCATCAACCTATTCTATCTTCCTCTGTCCCCAGATTGGGAATGGCAGGGCACTAATAGCTTCTGGCATGGGTTTCCTTCCTGCTGGACAACACCCTTAAGCAGATGGATTTGAACAGATACACATCTCCTCAGTAACGCATTTTCACACCATCTCAACAGTGACTTGCTCAGGCTCCCATGGTTGGTCAGGGATGAGTCTGTTGCATTTTCTACTTCTCTGGGCTCCTGGAAATTTCTTAACAAGATAGCTCTAATCACATTTTAAATGAAATTAGAAACAGAAGGTTATTAAATACTCCTTTGGAAATTAAACCTATGTAATTGTAACAATTTTTGCAATCTACACTGGGTATTTTTATTCTATGCATCTATAATCCTATAACAATAAAATTAAAACATTAGCTTTTGAGTTTTAGGTGCTGTATTTCTTTTATCAATCACACAATATTTGCAATATGGATTTTGAAAGATTCTGCAATCCTAGCAACTCAGAATTTGAAGCTATCTTATTTTTCACATTGAAATTTTGAAAAATAAGTTGATTCCTACCTAAAATGTATTATATCTAATTTGAGAAAAAGCAACAGAGTGCCTGTCAATGCTATTCTTTGGTAAATCAACTATATCTTTCCATAGCTTCCAAATTATGTATGCAAATCCCTTCACCACATTAAGGTACAATTTCCAAAAGGGTCCTCATTTTAAGGCAATCTATTCTGCAAAATTAGCATTATCTGGTCTGGATAAAAGTTCACTTGGGCACCTTGAAGAAGAGTTAGCTGTTAGGAAACACCTTTTGGGGGGAAATTTAATTAAAAAAATGCATAAGGTAGGAAATGAGTGGGTCCTCAGTCATTGGCTGAATTTCAAGAGTCATGTGATGACTTCAGCGAATTAGAACAAGGAGCTTAGCTCACACACTGGAACACTCCCAGAATTATCAGACTCATCCAAGGATCATTCAACAGTTTGTTTCATACAATTCATTTTCATTGTTATAGAATTAGTGACCAAAGAGCACAGCTCTTTCCAAAAGAAACAGTAAATCAAACACTGAAGAACACATTTTCCCAATGGTCCCTTTTCTAGTTGAGTTCTATGCCTTGTTTTTCAAAGTCTCAAGGAGGGGCACCTGGGTAGCTCAGTCGGTTGAGTGCAGACTTCGGCTCTGGTCATGATCTCTCAGTCTGTGAGTTCGAGCCCCGCATCAGGCTCTGTGCTGACAGCTCAGAGCCTGGAACCTGCTTCGGATTCTGTGTCTCCCTCTCTCTCTGCCCCTCCCCCGCTCATGCTCTGTCTCTCTCTCTGTCAAAAATAAATAAACATTAAAAAATTTTAATAAAAAAAATAAATAAAAGTCTCAAGGAGCCCAGGGGCACGTGGGTGGCTCAGTTGGTCAAGCATCCAACTCTTGGTTTCAGCTCAGGACATGATCTCATGGTTTTGTGGGTTCGAGCCCCACTTCAGGCTATGTGCTGGCAGCATCAATCCTGCTTAGGATTCTCTCTCTCTCTCTCTCTCTCTCTCTCTCTCTCTCTGCCCCTCCCCCACTCATGCTATTTCTGTCTCCCTCATAAATAAATAAACTTAACAAAAAAGGTCTCAAGGAGTCCAGCATCATGACCTGGGAACAAAACTTTTCATTGTACACTCACTCCACCCGTTAGAGTTCAGGTATGCAGCTCAAGTGATATGCTACCTGAGCTTGTCAAGATGTCACTGTGTTCTTAAAAGGTACAAGTGGGAGGAATTAACAGCCCAAACTTTTATATAACATCACCATTGTAAGAGAAACCCCACGGATGATGAGCAACACAAAACACGAATCTTTTGACAAAGATGCCCTAAAATGATAATTTATTATTATCAAGTTAAACCCTGCCATCATTGTTTTTCCTTTATGCTTTTATTTGCTAAGAAGAATATGCTGTTATTCACTCAGAAGGAAATAAACTCTGCAACATGTTCTTTGGTGATCTACTGTTGCGTTTTCTCATCTTGGAAATAATGTAGAGGATAAGAACTACATCATTATGCAGCGAATAGTCAAGGAGTACCTCCTATGTGCCTGGCAAAAACACAGACAAAAGCCAGAAATCACAACCAACCCTCCAAAGGAAATAGTTACATGCCTTATGGTCACTAACCTGGGCTAGTCTATAACTATAACAAAGCATAACATTAATTAAAATGATATTTTCAAATCAATGTTTACACTTTCCTTGTTATTCATACAACTTCTTAAAAAAAAGCTAAAGAGAAACAGCTTTTGTGTAATACACTTTAATGATTTTTCTGTATAGCACCAAGAAATAATGCCTCCTCTTTGAAATACTGACCTGTAAATTTCCCTTTGATAAAAAGGACTGCAAAAGAAGTTGGGAACCCAGCTGAGGTACGAAGAAAGGGTGCCTTTTATTCATGTGGTTTAGGGAAGTAGGAGAGTCTAATGAGCAAGAATAGAGAAGTGCTTTCTTCCTAATGAATAGGTAACCCACATGAATGCCCTTGGTTTACCCATTTGGCGAAACCTGAAATAGAAAACACTGCCAAGTCATGCCTCAATGAATAGCTTCGTTTGAGAATTCTGAACATGTCAAGGGGGCAGTGCTAAATGAACATGTTTTTATTCATCTTGGAAGCCTTGTAGGGTAATTAGGGAAGTGGGGACACTCAGATTGAGTAAGGAGTGGCATTCAGGCTATTTTAGGGACAGCCTGTGGTGGCAGCTGCTAAAAACCAAGAATTTTCCAAAGGTTACAGGGGATAGGATAACACTCAGTAGGGCTTTTGAAGATGAAATCCACAGTTTAAGGCCCTCCTGACATCCCTGGTTTGATTTCAACTTCGATTATGCATGAGGTAACACTCATATTTATTTCCATTGTTCTTTAATATGCTGTTGTCCTTTTAAAAGACTGACCCAAATGGAGGGACTGATTTTGGAGTTTTGCAAATAGCAACCACAGTGTGTGTGTGTGTGTACTGATGAGACAGAGAGAAAGAGGGAGATGGATAGACAGAAAGGCAGAGTCATCTGAAACAGAAAAATTTGACTGTGTTTCCATTTCCCTCCCCAAGTTGAATAGCTTTAGTTCATCTCACATGTAGCTTGAGTCCAATAAAGTGACTAAATCCTGATTCTGCTCTTTCCTCAGAACTTATTGAGAGATTGTAAGTTGCAAGAAGCCCTTAATCTCCTGGGGAAGGTAATCACACAGCTGTCAGGTGCTGGGGGGGTGGGGGGTGTGCTCTTCATGAAGGCAGCATCCATGTCACCCACAGCTTGGCTCTGATGGGTGGGAGGTGCATAAACCAAGGAACAGAACAGTGACGGAGAGGACCTGTGACAACGTGCACTTCACAACATGCCAGAAGAGTCCTTTTTAGCCAAAGGTTGGCCTCTCTGCTGATCCCACCGGTGTGGGGACCTGGAATTGTAGACCTGTACAGAGAAGCTCTAAGAGTTACAACCCCTGCAGGCCAAGCTATGTCACCTTGGCACTTAAGCCAGTTGTCTTTTTGTATGACGAGTCTAGCTCTATACTTCAGCCTGTTGGGCTATAATTAGAGGTCCCTGGACCAGTGAGAGTAACTATAAGGAACCTACCAAAGTCAACCATCCCAAGAAAAATTTCTGCTCACTGCTTGTGCTATACTCCACACCCTGTATGTTTCCATGGTAGTCTTTATCTTCTTGAATGCAACAGCTTGTTTATTGGCTTTCCTTCCCTATAAGCTGTGAGTTCGTTGAAGACAGGGACTGTGCAATATTCCTCTTTGTATAACCTCAACATATGGCATGACATGTAACACACACAGCCAGGCATGATGCACAAAACATTTTGTGGGATGAATGAATGAATGAAGATTAAATCAGATTTACTTCCTCTTGAACACTTCAGTCTCCAAAGAGCAAATGAAACCTTAGAGAACCAGGTTGAACTCACTGCAGAGAAAATATCAGTGCAGAGTCTGAAAAGAGATGTGTAGTGATGAGGCTGTGCAAAGACACATCAGCTCAAATTTCCCACCACTACTAGCGATGTGATCTGGTACTATTTACATAACTTCTCTGTGTCTCATTTTACTGATCTATAAAAATACCTGTCTTACAGAATTACTTGAGGTCCTAGATAATATTAACAAACCACCTTGTACAGTATCTGGCACAGAGAAGGCATATAATGTGTAAAGGCTATTATTTACAAGATACTTGAGGACAGCGGAGGAGAAATATATCAGAGGAAACATGTTTTGTGTCTGAGTCTTCATGGTCCAGTGGCACGACGTTATTCCCTTGGGACCATTACTGACCTAGACCAAATGGCCAGGCTCTAGAGCCAAGGGATAGGAACCCATTAAATCACTTTTTTATGGGGAAGATTAAAGCCAAGTGCTGTGTAGAAAAAACAGCAATGGGCCTCACTACAAGAATAGACAAGTGCAGCGTCTATGAATATTTGCAGCCTTCTCAGCCTGTGCTCCTTCAAATGTATTTTGCAAATACTAAGGTCACCCCAAATTTCATATGACTCAGGATTAAAGAGGCAAGAATTATATATATCTGGTATGACTCCAAATCAGCATCACATATGCATTAATTTGGTTACTCATTGAGTCATTGCCCCTACACTATTGATGAGCCTTAGCATCAGGTATTAGCAATACAAGAAAAAGTAAGCCATACCTGTCTTCAATGAGCCCCCAATACTAGAAAAAAACAGATTTACAATTTATAACTCTTCAGTCTTACAAAGTGCTGTGGGTTGATACAGGCCACACTGTTTTTTCCTTCAGGTCTTGGCAGAAACATCACTTCCTCGGGGGGAAGCCTTACAACCTGCTAAACCAGTCTGGGACTTCTTATTCCCACAAAGCCTAGATATTTTCTCCTTTGCATCCTGAACCACATCCTGCTTTTCCAGGGTCAGTTTTTGCCACGTGACTGAAGAGTACATGAGGTTAAGTTCCATGAGCCTGGAACACAACAGGTGTTCAATCAGTGTTGAATAAGTATGAGATGACAGTCAGGACAGGCGACAGGCGAAGTCAATGGATGCAGAGGACTGTCAAGCATTGTAAAATGCTCCTGGGAGGTGAAATCAGACCAGCAGGAAAAAGAAAACTAAAATTATCTACGGGCTTTGTTGGTAAGGAAGCATTTGTTATGCCCAGCTTTAGAACAACAGCAAGTAAAAGAAGACTGCATTCATCTGAGAAATCAAAGTGGAGGAAGTCAAGAAGGCAACTGGACACAGATTTTTAAGAATACACAGATTAACAGCTAGAAAGAATCAGGTGAAGGAGGCAGCAGAAAAAGGAAGAGGTTGAAATATACAAGAGAGAAACCATTAAGAAGTAAAAATGCAAGCCACATATGGGAAAAAAAAATATTTGTAGCCTACATAAATACTAATAGATTTATATCCAGAATCCACAAAAAAACCCTAATATCAATTAATTTAAAAAATCAAATTGAAAAATTGGTAAAGGACTTGAACAAGCATCATACAAGGAGGAATTCAAATGGCCAACAGGTATGAGAAAGGTGCTTAATCATGCTGACATTAGGGAAAGACTTCAAAACAACAAGGCACCACTGCCATCCTACTGAAAAGGAGGGGAGAAGGACTATGAATGTAGATGTATCTGGAGGTCTGAGAGTGAGCAGTTAAGGTAGCTCAGGCTTGTCTTTTTTTAAGCATGAGAGAAGCTGTCAGTGACATACGTACTTAAGGTGATCCATTAAGATTTGGAATAATCATTCTGAGGAATGTGAGTGCATGATCTTTGGAACAAGAATATAATCCCTGTAAAAGTTTTATGTGTCTAGTTAAATTGTAGACTCTAAATGTGTATCAGCAACAATCAATAACAGTGTTTTTTTCTGTGGCACCTGGATGGCTCAGTCAGTTAAGCATCTGACTTTTGATTTCGGCTCAGGTCAAGATCTTGCAGTTCATGGGATCAAGCCCTGCATAGGACTCCACACTGACAGTGCAGAGCCTGCTTGGGGTCCTTTCTCTCCCTCTTTCTCTCTGCCCCTGCCCTGCTCAAGCTCACTCGCTCTCTCTCTCAGAAATAAATAAATAAACTTTAAAAAGACAGTGTTATATTCCTCACATTGTCCAAACCCTAAGTGCATGTGGACAGCTAGACTGATACAGGATTAATAATCTGCAGGGTAGCTGCAGCAGACTGATAAAGGGCATTGAAATGGCAGATGAATGAACAGCTGAACGGGGAATCACAGTGAAGGCAGAAGGGGAAAACATCCCAAGATGAGTAAGGAAATTGGAAGGGAATAACTGAGGAGGGATTTGACATGGATATCTCAGCGAGGTTGAGAAGCAGGGGTGGTGGGAGTTGGGGCTGAGAGAATAGAGTATAAGACTGTAGAGGCCGGGCAGCTCCCCACAATTGCGAGTGCCAGGATGAACAAAGGGAGTGGGGTTACTCCCTGGAGAAGGGTATCTTTGACTTACTTTGTAAAATAAGACCTCGAACCTCCCAGAGATTCCAAGGAGAAGTGTGGTGAGGACTGGGGCAGCCAGCCCTGATGGACCCGACACTTGCTCCCCTGTAGAGATCTCTCAGTGAGTCCTGCTACCACAAGCCTTGACCTCTTCTCCCCTTCATAACTCTGGGCCAAGTGAGGGTGCTTAATTTAATTATATCTTAATTTAAATATATCTTAATTTAATTATATGTCAGTTCTGAAATATTAAGACTTTATTAAAGACTCAGTGAGACAAAGAGCAATTGATAGAGTCACATGAAAACCAGATACTCTTTTTTTTTTAATGTTTATTTATTTTTGAGAGAGAGAGTAAATGGGGAGGGACAGAGAGAAAGGAAGGCAGAGAATCCCAAGCAAGCTCCATGCGGTCAGTGCAGAGCCTGATGTGGGGCTCAAACTCCCAAACTGTGAGATCATGTCCTGAATCAAAATCAAGAGTGGGGCGCTTAACCAACTGAGCCACCCAGGCACCAATGTTTTTGCTTTTAAATACAATTTATGCATGCAGCTCGGGGTCCCCTACATGAAGATCTTCCTGTAGGAAGATCCAAGTAGGTCAGTTAGGCTCCTCCAAGTTAGCTGACCTGCTCCAAGTAGGTCAGTTAAGCTCTCTATACCTTGGTTCCCTCACCTTAAAACATGATGATTGAATTGAGCATTTCATATCTACTTCACAGGACTTGCAAGAATCAACTTCATGAGTTCACAAGCATAGAAGCTTTTATTGATGTATAGGTGCTATGTTACTACTCATTTATATGACATATCATTAAAATATCTCCATAAAGTATAATCTTTACTTGAAATTGGGATCTTGACTTTTACTTCCTGGAAGACATGGTAGGTAAGCTCTAGTTTTACCAAACATATATCAAGTGATAAAAACTCTTTTTTCCCATAATTTATACAGTGTGCCCAAACTGCAAGCCTCTGCCCATCCATCCTCCCCAACTCCCAGTGGGGAAGTGACAAGAAGGCTCAAGCTGAAATGCTCCTACTGGAGAAATAAGTCCTCCAGAAATGTGGCAGTAGCTATGGTCACCATCATCATTGTCATCATTGTTAGTCAGAGCCTAGAGTTATAGCTAATGCATTTAAAAGACAAACCATAAATCTTGACCGTAGTCAGATAGAGCAAGTGCTCAGCCTAACTCACTTGGACCCGCAGCGGGACAAGGGGAGCAGGACCGCAGTGGACAGCACTTTAAGAAGCTATAATTCTTAATGATTCCCCAAGTGCGCCAATGAGTATTTTAAATGGCTGAGTTAACAAAAATGAAGAGTAGTAGCCTAATTTCACATTCCTTAGGACTCAAAAGCCTAACTAATATGGAACATCAAAGCTTTTTGATTGACATATTTCATTGCAAAATATGCTAAAGGAGTGTACTTTTGACATATACCACTTCATTGCTAAGAAATGTCTATTAAAAAAGAAGGAAATACAAATTCCTTGAAACTTAGCAACTGAAAAGGTCTATTTGCAGTAAAACACACACACTCACACACACACACACACACACACACACACACACACACACACACACTCCAGTACATTGAACATTATCAGAAAATAATGGTAACTATATCATTAACATATATAGATTCCCAACATGTATCACTTGAAGCATTACAAGATCCAGAGAAGTATTTATGTAAAGAAAATTCCCCTCATTCCTGAACCCATGATATGTATTTTTAGTGCTGTCTTAACTTTCCTTGAAAGAAAAGGCCAATCACAGCATGTAAGACCATTTCAGGCCGACCCAACACATGTACATGTCATATCTAAAATAAATGATTTCACTATTTGTCCATTCTCTACATAAACCCTTTTCAGGCTCTCACACTCCATCACTCTACATCATCACAATGTCACAGTCCTGTCCAGGGTGTGCCCAGAGCAGGCAATCAGTAAATACTTGGGGTAGTAATAAAAACATGAGGAAAGTTTCTTCATTCTTTATTTTGCTTCTGGAGCCTTCTAACCCTGTCCTCTTCCCATTGAATTAGAACCTGTGTTTGTATAATCCAATCTCCTGGCTCCCTATTCTGAATTCAGTCTTTTTCTCTACCTCCCAAGCTCCCTCCTGGATTTAGCCTCTTCCTGACTCGCCGCTCTGGAACTCAGACCCTGGCTCCCTTACTTAGTTCCCAGATTAACTGTTTTGGAATACTCCCAAAACAGTTCAACCCAAGTCCTTCACCCTGCAGTCATTGCCTAGCACCTACCACCCAGCACCTAGGAGGATCCCATAACGTGAAGGAGAGACCTGGAGAAGAAAGAGGTACAGAATAGGGGAAGCCAGATTTCATTTCTATAATTTTATTCTGTTCAAATGAACCAAATGATACTGAGAAAAAAGGACAGTGGATAAGAAAGCAAAAAGCAGGTTGTGGGGTTGGTTCTCACACAGGAGACTAAATGGGTCTACACTGGAAGCTGGCTCTGAGACAAGCAAGATGTGTAAAAAAGGACAAATAAGGACACCCAGAGTTACCAGAGTTTTCACCAATGGCTCTCTACAAGAAAATCCTAAATAAAATAATCCATTCATATAATACTACAGGATAGCCATTGAAATGAAAAACAAAATAATTATTCTCTTAGTGCTAAAAATATATTTAACAACTTATATCATCCACTCCTAAAGATACCGCTTGTGTTTTCTTGTGTAGTAAAAATATCTATTTCAAATTGATATTTAGCATGGTATTCAAATGGGATATATTATATTTATGTGTGCAGTAAAACCTTTGAAAATAAAAATAATTATAAAAAATTTATGGGGTGCCTGGGTGGCTCAGTCAGTTAAGCGTCTGATTCTGGACTTCAGCTTAGGTCATGATTTCACAGTTCATGAGTTTGAGCCCCGCATCAGGTTCTGTGCTGACACTCAGGAGCCTGCTTGGGATTCTCTCTCTCTGTGTCTCTGCCCCTCCCCCATCTCAAAATAAATAACAAAAAATTTATGATTCTTTTCTTTGCTTATTACTACTATTCAAGTACATGAACTTGTTCAAATTCCTACTTGTAAACTTTCTAAGTTTTAAAAAGTTATTTCTAAATTAGTCCTAATTTGGAAACTATAAAATGGTGACAAAGAAATCTTTTCTAAAAGAATAAAAGCAAAATATCCTACAGTCTTTATGCAACTTTCCTAATGTGTGTATATTCCCTTCTTGTGCTTTTGGACATTATTTTACGTCACAGTAATAAGACTGCACCCAGTTGGTGTTCCCCATTCTCATTTACTGCCGTGCATCAAGCACTTTTCTTTGTGGCTACCTAATTGTTTTCAACCATTATTTAAAAATCCTGCCTATTCTTCTATGAAGAATATATTCCATAACTTATTTGAGTATCCCCTTTATTGTTGCATAGTTGTCTTATTTTCATTTGTTAAGAAATGTCAAAGTGAACTACTTTTGGTATTCATTTAGTGAGTTTTCACAATTCTTTTTATTTTTTGAACTCATCATAAAAATATCTTCATTATACTGTTGCAAATATTAATCTTCTTGACTTTTTCATTTTCACCACACTAAAAGGAGGATAGATTCTAAAAATTATAATAAGAGACTTATTTTAACTAAATAGGATAATCTTTTAAACTTTTATTTATCCCAACTATAATAGTTTTATTTCATGATTTATTTTTAATTGTAGAATTATATACTTTGAAGCTTAGAAGGTTCAAATTGACCATGATTTTTATTTTGTGTAATTATAAATTAAACTTTTTGCTGAAGTCTGTCTTTGCTTTTCCATTTGAGTGGATAATCTTATTACAATCCATACCTAACTTTATTTAATTATGTTCCCCAGATAGAGATAAGTGATATGTCAGTAAGATTATAATTTCATTTGTTGCTTCTCCTTTAATTTAATTTTGTTTATACATCTGTTCCAAAAGGGTTCTTCTTGTCTATTTTGAATTAAAATAATATAATTATGTTTCAGGTTATTATAACTGTTTTTTTCATTTTTATTGCATAGCCACTTCTTTTTAAAAATATTTTTTAATGTCTATTTTTGAGAGAGAGAGATAGAGTGTGAGCAGGGGAGGGGCAGAGAGAGAGGGAGACACAGAATCCGAAGCAGGCTCCAGGCTCCGAGCTGTCAGCACAGAGCCCAATAGGGGCTCGAACTCACGAACCGCAATATCATAACCTGACCTGAAGTCGGACCCTTAACCGACCAAGCCACCTGGGTGCCCCTGCATAGCCACTTCTCAGGAGGGCTTCCCCCGATCCCTGCCAATTCACATACACACGGACAATACAGCCACCACCACCCAT